GATATATAATTAATTAGATATATAATTAATATATTATATTTTTTTTTTATATTACCTATACATTATATAATAATAATATATTATATATATATATAATGATGAATATATATATTATAAGAAATAATATATAGTCATAGATTATAATAGTATATATAGATATACAACTTATATTATATGTGCTGTGTGTATATGTCATATATATAAATTATAGTTAGTATATATATATATATATAATATGGAGGTTTATATCATTGAGTTAATAATATATATGTTATTATAAATAATTATATATATAGAAGTTTATATATACTATACTATAATATATATACAATGTAATAATAAATATACAAATGATATATATACACTGTATGTAAATATGTATGTAGTATAAGTATATATTATACTATGATATATGATTATATAACACACCATATATAACATGTAATATAGAGAATTAAATAAGTAATATAAATAATATATATATATATAAATAAATATAATATTAATCATATTATATATAATATAGTATAAATATATAAATATATAATATAATATATATATTACATACTAACATATATTCAATATATATTTACATGATCATTGATTAATATAATTAGATTTATATTATTATATCATATATAATATAATATTATAGTACTTAATACTATATATCATTATTATTTAACTTAATAATAACGTAGTATTATTAATACATATATTATGTATCCACCCATATTTATGACTTAGTATATATTAGTATATATCATATATATATATATATATCATATATATAGTATAATTATATTATTATATATATATATTTATATCAACTAATGTAAATAATTAATATAAATACTAATATATATTAATAATACATAATTATAATGTTGATCATATATATATATATATAGATATAACATGAGATAGAAAAGAAGGAATATAGTAATAATATATATAATCATACTCTATATATATATATATATTATAATATATAATATTATATATAATACATATCATATATATAACCATAGTATAATATACCATACATATATATATCTAATACATACACAATATATACTATATTATGTTTTTTCATATATTTAGATACATTATACATGATATATACCAATATACTTATACCATCACTATATATATAATTATAGATACTTATACTATATATACTTATACTATTCATATACTACAGTACTATATCATAAAAAATAATAATATACTATACTATGCTATAGTATATTCTTGTTGACTTAATATAATTTTTGTATATATATTAAATATTATATACATCATAATTAATATATAGATGATACAATATACTATATATATATATATATATATGAATATAGTGACTGCTACTATATATATCATTGATTATTACTATATATATATATGACATACACATACATATACTATATATACTTACTCAATAATATATATATATAGTATATTATAATATATATTAATAATACTATATACTGGGTATGTATGAATAATCATAGGTGTCTATTATATAGTCATATGTATATGCTATATATCTATACATATATATCTCATACATATACATATTATGATAGTACTATATATTCAGACTATTAGGTATATATACCTATATTATACTATAGTATATTGTGATGAAGTACCTATAGTATATAGTATAAATACAATATATTATAAAGATATAGTATTCTACTAGTATATACTATACACTGTATGTACATACTCATTATATATACGTCATATATGCTATATTATATATACATATCCACTAGCTATGATATATATATATGACTACTAATGCTATATGCCAATGTACTACTGTACCTATATATATATTATATATGTTGATATATATCAATTTATATGCTGCGTACTAGTATTAATGTATATATAATATATATAGTTATATATACTTTATACATGTTCTATATATATATATTTATAATGGTTATATACTTATATATTTCATTATATAACAGTATCATATATATATATATTACGTATAATTGTTAATATATATATATTTACGGTATACATATACAGTTATACACTATATATAATATTATTATATATATAATAGTCATTATATACTATATACTATAACTAGTTATTATATATTACTATATATATATTGCAATGACATAGATATTATATAAGCTATATATGATATATAGTATACATACTATATATAATTTATACTGTATGTACTATTAAGTATATATACTTATTATAATACTACCATATATATGTTATATATTCTATTATATATATAATATTATATACTGATATACTCTATCTCTATCCTATTAATTACTATATATACTATATAGATATAGTATATACATCCTATATATATATATATCTATATGTATATATAACAGCTATATTCTATATCTATATTAGTCATATATTATATAATATTCTATATGTAATTATATATATTCATATATCTATATCATTCATACTCTATATATTTAGTAGTATGATATCATATATGAATATGATATATATACTATACTTATATATACCTATAGCATAAATACTATATATAATATATATATATTTATATGATAGTATATATTTAGATATAGTATATATATTATCATTATATATTTATTTATGTATACATATATATCTAATATATTCTATAATCTTATCGTTATATATATACTCTCACTATAATATATTTATATTGAATGTATATAATATATATATATAACTAATTATATAATATATATAATATATTATATATATCTAAGTATATATATATATAAAAAAATATATAGTACTATAGTATATATATATTTATATATATATAAAATATATTATATTATATATATATAATATATATAATACTTTATATGTTGTATACCTATATATATATATATATAATATATATATAAATATATTATATAATATACTATATATATATATTAATATATATATACAATATATAATATATACATATATAACATATAGAAAAGGTATGAATGAGACTGGATATCTTCACAATTTTAAAGATGCATTTAACTGCTTGATTACGTCTTCATCAGAAATACATGTTTTTCTAATGAAGACGTAATCGAAACCAGTCAAATACATCTCTTGTATTGTGAAGATATCCAGTTTCATTCATTAACTTTCTTATATTTGTCAACATGGATATGGTTCATATGTAATATATATTATATATATTATATATATATATATATATATATATATATATATACATGCATATTAATGTATATGTATATACATATATATATATTATGTGTATATATGTGTATATATATAATATAGATAAATAGATATATATAGACTATATATAGATATAATTATAATATGTATATATATATATATATGAATATATATGTATAAAATATATATATATATGTATATATATATATATAATGTATATATGTATATATATGTATATATACATATATGTATATTATGTTATATATGTATATATATATATATATACATATGTATATATGGTATATATATCATTATATACATATATGTAGTAATATACAATATCATATAATACTAACTATATACATATATATATAATATATATATATGTATAATTATATGTATACTATATGTATATATATATATATATATATATGTATATATATATGTATATATATATGTATATATATATGTATATATATATGTATATATAGATGTATATGTGTTATATTATATATGTATATAGATGTTATATGTTATATATAGATGTATAGTTGTATATATATATGTATATAGATGATATATGTGTAATATATAGAAATTATATGTGTTATATATATATAATAGCACATAAGATAATAGAAGTAATATTTATAGATAGATATATATATTATAGTATATAAATATAATATATATATAATAGTATATAGTAATATATAATAAATGTATATATATACTATCTATAAATATATGTATCTATATAAATATATGTATATATATCACATATATTATATTTATATATAGTATATATATACAACATACTATATATATATATAATATATTATATAATATATGTATATATATATATATATAATATATATAATGTAGTATACACATCTATGTTATCTATCTTACTCTCTCTCTAATATAGATATATATAAAAATATAGCATATATATAGATATATATATAATGTAATACTCTATATGTATATATATATGTAATTTATACATATGTAATATATATTATATATATATATATACTATCATATACTATATATGTATATATATATATGTATATATATATATATGTTTTATATCATGTATCTATGTATCTATCATATATGTCATATATATATATATATATATATATATATAATATATGATAAATATGTATATATAAGTATATCATTATATGTATAATGTATATTAATAATACTTATATATCATATATGTAATACTATATATAATGTATAGTATAGTATATAACATATATAAATATTATTCCTGTACATGCTATATATATACATTACAATCTACAAATTATAATATATCTATATAATATATTAAGTTATACTTATATATATGTAATATATATATATAGTATATATACTATAATATATCATAATTACTATATATACTATAAACTATAATATATTTATATATTATAGATATATATTAACTTATATATATAATAATTACTATATATATATATACAATATAGTATATAGATTATATTATAAATTTATTATATATATTATACTATATATTACTATAATAATATATAATTATATACTATATATATTATTATATATATATATATAGTACTCTATTATATAACTACTATATATACCTATATATATATATTACAACACATTATATATATATATAATATATATATATATATATATTATATATTATATATATATATATATATCATATATATATATATATATATATATATATATATATATATATATATATATATATATATTATATATATATATATCAATGT